GGAAGTTCGCGGATCTGAAAATTGCAGCACCGGCAGTTGAAAGGTGAAAAATCCGATTTAAAAAAACTGCAGGGGGATCTCATGGAGCCTTAGTGAACCACAATTGATACAAAATTAATGAATTTAACAACAAAAACAAATTGCGGCAATTGAGCTATGGAAAAATAAAGTTAATTTTGAAGTTGTATCAGCTTGTTTGTGTCAGACAAATGCGGAAGTTCCGGGATTTGAATAACTAAACTGTGAGAGTTGGGGGAGAAGTTTGGAAGTTCCTCTAACAAAACTCCTCCAGCAGGACGCAATAACTCTGATCTGCACCATACACGAGACGCTACTACTACTAGATTACCCCGGTATATGTCGTTGCACGATCTCAATGTGTCGGGAATAATCTTCGTAAAAAAACAACCAAGAAATCCATTCCATCTTGAGAGAAAACAAAATCTATGATATGTGAAATATGCCTAATAGGAGAGTAGAATTACCGAGGTTGGAAGTATCTTATCGCACTAATGTCAAAAAATAGCGGCACAGCCTCCTCCACCTTCTCTACAGCCTCCTAATCCCCAATTTAATACCCCGAAGTTTTTTTGATTTTGGCATTTTTCTCCACTGCCACTGGACCGATTTCCAAAAACTAAAAAGCATTTCTGTCCTTGGTATATTAGTAACTCCCTGTGAAAATCTCAGCAAAATCAGACCGGAACTTTCCAAGTTGCAGAGGGGTCAAGGATTAGCGGACAGACAGACAGATAGACCGACAGACAGACCGATAGATAGATAGATAGATAGATAGATATTGTTTATCCAATCTATTATTGAAAAATGTCATTGAATACGCCAAAAAACATATACACGCAAAACATATCAGTGGAAGAAAGAATAGAAATTACATCACTGGGACTGTTTTTAGAGTCCAATAAAAACAACCGCACTATTGTAAAAAACACATAATTGTAAATAATGACAAAATAGAACAAATTGAAAGGTTAGCGGTTAAAACAGGCGGTAGAATAGAATATAAATAACTGACTAATAAATAAAATAAAATTGGCGGCTAATTTCCCTGTGTATTTTAGAGCATACAGGTTTGTCCGGAAAGTGATAGGACTGAGTCGATTTAAAAAAAAATATTGAGCCAATCGTTACAATTCTTCAAAAACTTTCAAAATATTCCCCTTCTGCGTCGATGCAGCGCTGCCAGCGCGATTTCCAAGCATTGAAGGCGTCACGGAAGGCAGTCTCCGGAATAGCCTTGAGAGCCGCGGTGCATGCTGCTTGGATCCCCTCTGTCGTCTCAAAATGCTTGCCTTTCATCGGCCTTTTCAGGCGAGGAAACAAAAAAAAGTCCGAGGGGCCACATCTGGGCTGTAGGGCGGCTGCAGAAGTGTTGGGATGCCGGCCTTGGTCAGGTAGCTGTTCACAAGAAAGGCGGTGTGAGCCGGGGCGTCGTCGTGGTGCAACTTCCAGTCGGCTGCGATGTCTTGTCGGACTCGACTGACCCTTCGTTTGAGTCTCCTGAGCACTTCTACGTAAAACTTGTAGTTGGCGGTTTGTCCAGGAGGAACAAATTCATGTTGGACGATGCCTATGATGTCAAAAAAGACAATGAGCATCGTTTTCACTTTGGATTTGCTCATTCTTCCCTTTTTTGGGCGAGGAGACGCCGTCGTGTGCCACTCGGAAAATTGCCTCTTTGTCTCGGGATCATACTCAAAGATCCACGACTCGTCACCTGTGATTATGTTATTCAAAAATTGGGGGTCACTTTCACACATGTTCAAATTTTCTTGGCAAACTTCCACTCGCCGCAATTTCTGGTCGTCAGTGAGCACTTTTGGGACCATTTTCGCGTACACCTTGCGCACACGAGTCACATTATCGGTGTTTGTCGAAGTCGAAGGCCTTCCAGCACGGTCTTCATCAGCGACCTCTTCCCGGCCCTCCAAAAAGGCCTGGTGCCACCGAAACACACCACTTCTTGCTAAAGCAACACCTGGGTAAGCCTGCTTGATCATATCAAACGTTTCTGTCGCAGATTTACCGAGTTTCACACAGAATTTAATCGCGTACCTCTGCTCTAACCAATGCTGCATTTTCAGCTTGCACCACTCACAGAAACACGTCGCGCGAAAATGCCTGTCCTGACCCTCCAAGTGCTCGGAGACAACTGACCATCCGCTCATTCGTTAGCTAGGAAGGCCCTCTACAGAATCCAGTCGGTGCGCGCATGCTCCGAAGTACAGTCATGGCGGAAGGAAATGAGTCCTATTACTTTCCGGACAAACCCTGTATATTGTGATCGTTAAGATATTAAATTTCAAAAATCAAAATCACAGGCTCATTTTGAATATTATAAACAACTAAGGAACTATACAAAGCATGCAATTATAGAAATTAGAAAAAATACTTTCTTTAACTTACTCTCAACAAAGAAAGGTAAGGAATGATATCAGACATCATCAAGAACAAAAAAATAGTACGTGCATGGTTCTTCTCGACTTTAGTAAAGCGTTCGACACTCTGAATCATGAAATGTTACTAGCTAAGTTACATTACCAGGGGTTTTCGCAGAACTCCGTAAATCTAATAAAAACATACTTAAGCAACCGTTCAAACTGTGTTATGTTAGCAAATGATTCTGCTATTTACAAAACCGATTTTAAACCTATAAAAAGAGGAGTTCCTCAAGGTTCAATTTTATCTCCTTTGCTATTTTCAATCTACATATCTGACATGGTCAAATCCGTAAAATTCGCAAAGATAAAACAATATGCAGATGACTCACAAATATATCTCCCTGTCAATAAAACCACAATCCATATTGCACAACAACAACTAAATTCAGATCTCCAAAGAATTGACAGATTTGCAAAGCATCACAATCTTAAACTGAACCCCTCAAAATCGCAAGTAATGGTTATGAATAAAAACAGTACTGAAAGAGAACATTTTGAACAAAATTTAGTAATTTCTATTAACAATGAAAGAATTCCCATAGTTCAGGAGACAAAAAATCTAGGCAGTATATTTGATAGCTCGCTTGGCTGCGGAAGTAATATAAAAAACAGAACAAATTTAGCATACACGCGACTAAAAAATATAAACAAATTAAAAAAACATTTATCAGCCAAACAAAAATATTATTTGTGTAATACCTTAATTTTATCACTTTTTGACTATGGAGATGTCGTCTATGGTGATTCGCTATCGTCGCGAACCAAAAAATGCATACAAAAAGTTCAAAATAGTTGCATGAGATTTGCATTTGGAATTCCATATCGAAACCATATCACTCCTTATCTGAATAACTACAACATATTAAACATGACGAATCGCAGAAAATATCACATGTATTCTTTTATCTATAGGGTTATAAAAACAGGTCAACCGCCCTATTCAAGAGAAAGATTTGTGCCTTTGCCTAGTCCCCAGAGAAGTAGAAATAATCTCAATTTTGTCGTACCTAGGCATAGATCGCGTTCCTTCCGACGATCGTTTGCCTATGTGGCGGTTCACTTATGGAATAATTTACCAACTTCAGTTAAAAGCTCATCGTCAAAAACATTCTCAAAACTGACAAAAACGTTGTTACAGAATCACCAGCTACTTTAGCAGCGTTTGTGTGAGCAAAAATATCGTTTTTACAGTCCTACTCGCTGACAGGTTGTATAGATTTGTTTTTCGCGTCCGTTGCCAGCTCCCGGGGGTTCTTCCTTCGTTTTTGCCTTTTTTGTGTTTCACCGCCTCTTCATTTGCCTCTTTATTGTATTTTTTATTTTGTTTAAGGACTTTTAGGGTATTCAGGGCTTTCTCGCATGGACTCTTTGTATTAAAGAGTCCAATGTATCGGTTTTATAATCGAGAGACTGTCCTTTTTCGTCATTACTCTATATGTAGAATTTCTTTTATTTATGATGTTTATTCATGACGAAATAAATATTTTGAATTTGAATTTGAATTTGAATATTTATTGAGGGTATAGTATGCTTTACGGACCGTTGGACTTTTAATTTTTTTCTTAATATACTTAGTGACAAAAAAAGGAAAACACCTACGTATGTTCATCATAATTTCAAAAAATCTACCTACAGTCCAACATACTGACATTACAGAGTGATGAAACTCTCGTAATTCGAAAGTTTTTGCGTATGTATGGAAAATAAACCGATTTGTCCTCAAACAGCTGATAAAGATTCTCTCTGGGAGCACATACTTGTACTTTAGCGATGTGCTACAAAATGCTCAAACGCGGCCGCGATTCAAAATCATAAATCATTTCACAACCACCGTAATACTAAACATGCTATGATCCGTGCTTACGTGTGTACGTTCCCCTATCCTTCAACAAAGATCCCTGTAACCCAAGGCCCATCCCATATTTCATGTTACAACAACAGTGACGTACCGTAAAGGGATGATTTAAATTCAGGTCAGATTATGCTGTATTATATTCGCGTTTACTACTATTTGTATTCCCTACTAGTCTTTGATGATCGATCTTATTTGATCTTTACACATCTGTAGATTTTTACACAACTACAATGATTATTGTAAGTCCGGGGAGTTGGCCATAGTCTCTTTTAAGCTCTATCAGAAATAAAATACTTGGGTTTTTATAATTGTATTTATTTTTCATTAAAGTTTAAATAATCAACTATGATATTATAAACATAAAAGTAACAATTTCTACTGAGATCACCTTATTAATTTAAGTTTTTTTAAAATCACAATTGGCCATCTGTCTCAAGGCCACTTGGGGGTGATGGCCATGGCATTAGAGGTAAGATGGCCATAACTTAATTATAGGCTTATAGCTACTTTTTGATCCCATTTTTTACATTTACGTCTGCTTTTTTCCTCTCCGAGATAAGGTGTAATCTGGATCTTTACTGAACGAAGCCTCTTTCGGAGAGCTCGGGTGTGAAACATTCGACATCCTGGCAGTTTTTACGGAGACTTTTGATTTTGTGGAAACGATTTCAAGGCTATAGTTTGTATCACTGGTGTAGGTTCCTTTTCATTGTCCACAGCAGATTTAGTGTGGGGGAGCACTTGTGTAACAGAGGTATTCGTCGGGTCACTGGTAGATTCTTGAATAAACGCATAATCTGGCACCGCTTCTGAGTTGCTTCAAATCCAGCAATTGCATTTTCCGACGTTGCTGGTTTTCCCCAAACCTTGCTAAGTAAAGCTAAGAAAGCCTCGATATTCGACGTCCTGGGTATTGGATAACCAAAGTCTACACTGTTCATAAAAGTGATGTTTTAGTGATTTAAAAACAGAGCGATCTAAGGGTTGCAGATAATGAGACGTGTGACTGGGCGTTGATATCAAAATAATGTCATTCTGATTGACATATTCCGACATGTCCACGGAGTAGTCAATTTCCTCTCGTTTTCTTCTCCAAATAAAGTAGGTGGTACCGTAGGTGCTTTCCTGTCATTTTTATTTCTTTATTCTTCTTTCTAATGTTTTTCTAGGTATTTGGTTCTGGAGACCAGACTGCTAGGCTAATATTCACGCTTGGATAAAAGATTTGCTCTCAGGCGAAAGGACTGGATGTTATTGAGTGTTGTCACAGTCACAATTTTGTGCACTGAGGACATGATTTGGCAAGTCTTGGTACAAGGCCCAGATAAGGGCCGACCTGCAGTGCTATTCAGTATGTGTTCAACACGAAAACACATACAGAGGCTCTCCTCCCTCTCTCCACAAGGATCGGTTCTTGTCATCTTAATATTTTCTATATACTGTTGTAAGTTACTTCGTATTTATACTCAATTACACTACAAGTTGATGATGTACTCGGTGCAAAACAAAAAAAAAACACTATGACTGGAATAATTTTTTATATATATTAGAACAACATTCTTTATCATTAAATCCGAAAAAGTCCACTTTTCCCTTGTTTGGCCTCAATGCAGTTCGAGAAACAATCAAAAATAATTTTAGCGTCACAATTAAAACGTTAGAAGAAAGAAATAACCTTGGGTTAATACTCGATTCAAAATTGCGTTTCTGAAAACAGGTGCTTATGAATAAAAAAATGCCTTTTCTTCATCACACTGTTGTGTTGAATGCTTCCATCCATCTCAAAATGGTGTTACGGTCTGGTACTGTCCCACGTCGTGGAACACGGAAGTGAACGCAAAACCCACGTTGCGTTCGACCGACAGACTCGCCATTTTGAAAGTACCGATGTACAGTGAACACACGATGCTCAATATTCCAAACCATCTTGCCAGCTGAAACTGTACTTCTCCCACTATCCAACACGCCCTCCCCACCGACACGGGACCAGCCCACTCGATATAGTACCCATTCGAAAAACATGCGTTCTTTCTGACGGACCCTGTATTTAAATTATGACACTAAGCAAACTTTCAGCGAAAGTCTTGAACTGCCACAGTTCTCATACGTTTCACCTGTTTACCATAGCAATTTGGATGTAGATAGTCGCAGAAATATTAGAATTGTTCAAAATTCATGGCAAATAGAAAGAAAGAAGAAAATATGATCACGTTTCGGAAAGTTTTTTAGAAACTAAATGGATTAATATGAGAAACAGCTCCAAACATCCAGCGATTACCTTATACTCGTATTACAAAATTATTACATATTATAGACCTACCTACCTGTATAAAAAAATTGAATTTCGATCAAAAGTTTACATTATTTGTATTAGATCCAAAGTCTCCATCACTCTTCCTACTCACAAAAACCACTATATAATGATATGCGAATATTAAAGAGTGTGAATCTACACGAAAAATTAATGTTAGTTTGCTTTATAAACTATCGTCCAAAAATGTTTCCTTACAAAAACTCGGGGTGTTGAAGTTTTAGGAAAAAAAATGGAAATTAATGAATATTTTCAGAACCGATTCAGAGATTTCACTGATATTTAGCACGTAGTGAAAGTTAATAAAGCTGCATATTTTTCAATGCAAAACAGTAGCGTGCGTACGGGTATTGACTTCGATGTTTTTTCAAAAAAAAAGTAGTACGCCAACGGTTTTTGTTGAGGATAGGTAAGCAAAGCAATTCAACTCGCAGTGGTCTTCGGTTCAGAACATTTTATTGAGTACTTGTGCATGAATGTGTAGATACCCGACAGGTGTATACCGGGCTTCCGCGGTCCGCGATCCGCGCGCGTGCGTTGGCTGCTGTTGTTCTTCAACTGCTTCCAACGATTGACTCTTTACGACTGACTGCATTCCTAGTGCGGCGCGCGTGGACCGACGGCTGTTAACAAATAATCTTTCACGAGTTGCTTCCTTTCGATGAGCCATTTTTGAGTAAAAAAAAAAATAAAATTCGTTCTATTGTCCCAGAAAATTTATGTAATAAATGAAGAATGCAATTTAGAAATAAATATCTAGTTGCTCTGGAATTTGTCACTGGCTTTTGACATCTGACAAGTCTCTGTTATTCAAATCTGTTCGCTGTGACATCTTTTTCATTATTTAGTTTTTACAATCTTGTTAATAATGGTGAATTATTCAAATGCAGAAATGTCGGAAACGCATTACGTATATGGCCTTGCCGACGGTAATGGTGAGTCATCCGAATTTATCACCAGAGATATCCCGATCGTGCTATGCCAGATAGTCGAACCTTTTCTAATATTCATCGTCGTCTTGTTGAAACTGTTTCTGATCGAAAAGGAACATCTGAAGGTAGACCTCTAAGTGTGAGAACACCTGAAATGAAGGAAGCAGTGCTGCACGAAGTCGAAGAACATCCTGAAACGAGTACGAGGAAGATCGCTAGACACTTAAATATTTGCCATCAAATTGTTTAGAGAATTTAGTGAATTTTTTGTTACATCCTTACCATATTTTAAAAGTACAGGCATTACTTCCCATTAATTTTCCAAGGCGTGTGACCTTTTGTCAGGGGTATCTTCAAAAAATTGCACAAAATCCTCAATTTGAATCAATGATTCTGTTCCCCAAGAGTTACCACCAAGGTCCCCAGACCTCAACATTTTAGATTTATTTTTGTGGGGCTATCTTACGACACTAGTGTACACAAGTCCCATTAACACTGTAGAGGAATTAAGAGAAAGAAAGATGCAGCTTGTGATAGAATAAAAAACACTCCAGGGATATTTCAACGAGTGCGCAATTCCATGAGAAGGAAGGCGGAAGCATGCATATTAAGTGCAGGGGGCCATTTTCAACAATTTTTGTAATCATTTCATTGGTTTTAATGTTATGTTTATGTTGTCAGTTATTGGTGTTCATTACCCCTAATGTGTTTAATTTTTCCAATTAAATTAATAATAATTTTGCAAGTTAGACAATAGAACTGTTTTTATTTTTTTTACTCAAAAATGGCGCATCGTTTTAAATTGAACGGCGAATTCAAAAATTTTATTTGGAAAAAAACCGTTGACGTAGTATTTTTTTTCTGAAAAAATACCCGTACGTGCGCCACTGTTAAAGTTAAACATTATTTTTGCATTGAAAAATATGCAACTTTATTAACTTTCACTACGTACTGATTTTCAGTGAAATATCTGAAGCGGTTTTGAAAATATTAATTAATTTCCATTTTTTCCTAAAACTTCAACATCCCGAGTTTTTGGGAGAGGAAACATTTTTGAACCATAGTTTATAAAGCAAGCTAACATTAATATTTCATGTAGATTCACACCCTTTAATATTCGCATATCATTAAGGAACACCCTGTATATGAAAGGAGTTTCAGCTACTTGATAGCTAAGAAATATAGAAACATCCTTCAGCAGTTTGTGGAACTGAGGGAAATCCTATTTAAAAAGACAATTACGAGTGTATCTTATATTTTTGAGAAACAGCAAGAATGAAATCATATCATTTATGTATTCAATTTTTATCCTTTAATTGATTCAGTTAAACGTTCAACTCATACTTTCTATTTTCATCATTTTATTTGTACAATTTTTTTGTATCTCTGCAAGGTTAAAGAGCACGCAATGTGAACTCCACCTTTTGGATAATAAAGACAATTTAATATTATTATTATTATTATCAAAACCTATGTGCTAATGGTTTTACTTGTTTCCTAGTGTAACTCAAGCTAACAATATTGAAATCAACTGAACTTATCTTTTGGTAAAGATCAGGATGCGGTAGAGAAACATATAAAGGTTATCAACGTCGAGCGATTGTGAAGCATCTGTAAAAAATTAAATATGGTACTCGAAACAAAATTACCGTTCCAGGAACACACTTTGAAATGTGTGCAGCGAGTTCATATGAAACTCAAAATGCTCTACACCCACACCGTCATTCACTTAGGCAATCACTGAAAATAAAATTATGTAACAGATACGGCATCTCAATTATTGTTATTGTTTGTATGGCCATGTCTTGGTAAGAGTGATGAAAATCGAATCGAAAGGGTACAATAGTCATGCTTGAGATTTACTTATCGTACAAGGAAATACATGAAAATATCCCAGAAACTGCAAGATGAAAACTGATTATCTTCTGTTCAGAGAATGGTTGTCCGACCGATCGGCGATTCTTGTCTAATGCACAGTATCGATACGCTTTTTTAGAATTTCAATATGACGTTTCTTCTCTTCTCCTCAAACATCAACTTGAGTTTGAAACTTCCAGTATACCAGGGCAGTATGCTGCAATATGGCCATATGACTTGATTTGATAACTACAGTCAAATATTGCTACAAAAATCTGCTCGTTTGGATGCTCCATAAGGCATGCTAGATTAAAAAACTTCACCAGGATCATGTCGCGATAGCAACATTTTACGAGCTTTTTGAAGGCATATTTTTGATACGCCCCTGTTAGACATTAGGCGGCGCTCGTGCATTGTTTCCAACGCCTCTTTGTTCTTTAATTTATCAACGTCGGCGTCGATAGAACGGAAAATCATATCAAGTTCATAGATCATCTTATCCGCAAAAAGGATGGTATTGAGACGGTTTCGTGTATAAGATAATTCCTGGTGGGTATTTTTAACCATGACTAGGATGTTCACTGAATTCAGTTTTTACGTACAATGCCCCCTCCCCCCATCTATGTTTTTGATGGGTCAAGTTAGCAAGGTGAAATTTGTGATAATGAAACTGGTGTATAAAAGTGGTAGTTACACATTTTGCGGAGTGCCCTTTATAAAAATATTATACAAAACTATACAGGGTGTTTCAGTTTATTGTTGCATAACTTTAAGATTCGATAGAACTTTTAAAATTAATGCATAAAATCTATATAAACATGGGTCGAAAAATGCGTGGCTT